ACAAGGTCCAGCTGGCGACTGGCCTTGGCTAACACACTGGCTGAGATCTCCTCCTTGCCTGGGGGACAGCTGACTTTTTCAGTGTAGGAGGATTCAACAGTGTGGGCCCAGCTCAGAACCTCACCGTCCCCACCCTTATAGCAGCCACCTCTGCTCAGAGTAACTGTTACACCAGGGTTTCTGCAGGTTGAACTTTTTCTTTTTCTTTCTTTTATTTTTATTTATTTTTTGCTCTGGTGGAGCAGCCAGTACTCAGCCTGAGCTGTCACTCCACTAACCAGCTTTCAATGAAAGAAAGAGGCTTTCAGAAGTCACCCATGACCCTACCTGCCACAGGTTATGCTGAGGCTCAACTATGGTTTTGAACCAAGGTCAGCAGGCCCAAGGCCATGCTGTCTAGGAACCAAGATGTGATGGGACTCTGAGGAGCTAGGGTTTTAGGGTGCCCGGTAATTTCAGGCAACCAGTTGAGAGTTACTGCAGGCTAAAGGTCCAAAGCGTTGTCCAGGAACTCTCCTCAGAGCCAAGGTATCCTAGAGAGGATGGCTGGAGGGGTTGAGTGGACACTGTTAGCCCAGCATGGACCCCAGACACCTGCTTCATTGCCCTCCAGTGGCTCATGAAGCTATAAGCTGTTGAGCTGCCTCCAAAGTACAGTCTACTGCCTGGATGGCCCAGGGCTGGAGCCGCCAAAGTCGCTGTCCAAGAAGGGCAGGTGCCAAGAGGTCTCCTAGCCATCATCCCATTGATGGGGTTCTGAGAGGTAGGTGAGTGGGTGACTTACCCAACATTTCCCAGGTCCTAAAACAAACTCTTAAACAGGTTTTCATTTGCTGTCTCTCATCTACTCACTGAGACCGTGGAGTCAGGTACCAGGGGAAACTCCACTGCTGTCTAGGGGGCAGTGCTTGGGAGGGGTCTTAAAAGTACTGCAAATGGTGCTGCATGGTAAGAATTTGTGGGAAAACGGAAAAGCGCCCACTCAGGAGAGCAGCAGAAATCAAGGCGGGCTTCCCAGAAGATATGCCACGAAGAACAATTCCCAGGAAATTTCCCCTCTATCCACTGGCAGACCCGGCCTGGGAGCAGCATGGGCAGAGTTGTGTGGCCGGGTCCTATAAGCTCAGCCATAATAATGGATGCTGCTGGCCACAAAGGGACAGTGTTTGAACCTGGGGCAGGGGCTCTGTGGCTGACTTTTGTCAGCATTGATCATTTTGTCTGTTGGGGCAATAGGGAGGGGAGTTCACAGGGCAGCCTCAGGTGTTTTCCTTGGAGCTATTTACTTTTTCTTTGGGGGGTGTTGTTTGTTTGTTTTGTTTTGTTTTTTTCGAGACAGAGTTTCTCTGTAGCTTTGGAGCTCGTCCTGGCACTAGCTCTTGTAGACCAGGCTGGCCTTGAACTGCTAGATGTCCGCTTGCCTCTGCCTCTGGAGTGCTGGGATTAAAGGCGTGTGCCACCACCACCTGGTTTTTTGTTTTTTGAGACAGGGTTCAGGCTGGCTTTGAACTCACAAAGATCCACCTGCTTCTGTCTCACGCGCTGGGATTAAAGGTGTGTACCACCATGCCCAGGTACTATCCACCTTTTTAAAGATAGTTTTTTTACTGGCCTGCAGCTTGCTTTTGAGGTCTTGTTTAGGCAACAACATTGTTGAGATTTTTCTGGGTGCTGCTTCCCTGTCAAACATTGTAATGGATAGTTCTACACACACACACACACACACACACACAGTTTATAAATACAGTCTGTTGGGCTCGTCTAATATTGTCATATGTGTTTAGAGCCAACCTCTCAGACTGGCTACCTTATCAGGGAGTTTGTCCCTGAAGAAGCCTGCTTTGCCCTCCCCCAGCTACCATCAACCGCCTCTAGTTCTCTTTCTAGGGGTGAAGCCTGGGAGAATTCCCCTATCCCGTTGGCATGTCAGTAGGGTGGTGTTTTTGAGGTCTCGTTTAGGCAACGATATTGTTGAGATTTTTCTGGGTGCTGCTTCCCTGTCAAACATAAAAGACACTGTCTCAAAGCAGACATCCACCCATAGGCTGTCCTGGTCTTCTGGCTCTTCCAGTCTTTCCACACCCTCTTTTGTGATGTTCCCTGAGCCTTCTGTGTAGGGGATTGTGTTTTAGATATAGGAACTGGGGCTGGATACCCCATGGCGAGTTCTTTGCATTTTGACCAGTTGTGATGCTCTTTATCCGCTGCAGAAAGAGGCAGCTCTGGTCAGGGGTGAGGGCTGCACTTATCTTTGGGTATAAGGCTAAGTGTTTAGAGTTCAGCCAGAAATGCTATTGGTTTGATGATATAGCCTCACCAGCCACAGGCAATGGGCCAGCTTTTTCTTAAAGCAAAACGTGGTGTACTAGATAGTTTTATGTAAACTTGACACGATCACCTGGGAGGAGGGAACCTCAATTAAGAAAATGCCTCCATAGATTGGGTAGTAGGTAAGCCTGTAAGGCATCTTAATTAGTGATTAGTCGGGGAGGGCTCAGCCCATTGTGAGTAGGGCCATCCCTCGGCTGGTGGTCCTGTGTTCTCCAAGACAGCAGGCTGAGGAAGTCTTGAGGAGAAGGCCAGTGTCTTGGTTAGGGTTTCAGCGTCTTGGTTAGGGTTTCTATTGCTGTGACGAGACACCATGACCACAGTACTTTTTTTTTTTTTTTTAAAGATTTATTATGTATACAGTGTTCTGTCTGTCTGTACTCTTGCTGGCCAGAAGAGGGCACCAGATCTCATTACAGATGGTTGTGAGCCACCATGTGGTTGCTGGGAATTGAACTCAGGACCTCTGGAAGAGCAGTCAGTGCTCTTAACCTCTGAGCCATCTCTCCAGCCCCACAGTAACTCTTCTAAAAGAAAAATGTTTAACTGGGGTGGCTTACATTTTCAGAGTTAGTCCATTATCATCATGTTGATGAACATGGCTGTGTGCAGGCAGACATGGTGCTGGAAAGGGAGCTGCTACATGTTGATATGCAGGAAACAGGAAGTAGACTGTGTCACACTAAGCAAGGTTTGAGCATATATGAGACCTCAAAGCCTACATCCTCCAACAAGGCCACACCTCCTAATAGTGCCTTTGGGGGCCATTTGATTTTAAACCACCATAGCCAAGTAAACAGCATCCGTCCATGGCCCCTGCATCAGCTCCTGCCTCCAGAGTCCTGCCCTGCTTGAGTTCCTGTTCTGACTTCCTTCAATGATGAGGAGTAACATAGGAGTGTGAGCCAAATAAACCCTTTCCTTCCCAACTTATCTGGCCATTGTGTTTCATCACAGCAATAGTAACCCTGACTAAGATGAATAGATTGAGGGTATTGAACTCAGGTCCTTGTGCTTACTTGGCAAGAACTTTTACTAACCTTGAATGATCATCAAGCTTCTCACCTTTCTTTTGTTGTTTTGAAACAAGGTTTCTCTGTGTAGCCCTGGTTAGACCAGGCTGACCTCGAACTCACAGAGATCCACCTGCCTCTGCCTCCCAAATGCTGATATTAAAGGCACGTACCACCACTGCTTGGCCAGCTCACCTTTCTTGAAGAGGATGCTGTGTGATTTTAAACCTTCTGGCCCACAGAACCTCAGTCTGTCCGGGAACCACTCCACAAACCTCAAATCTGATTCTTATATACAAAGGTCTAGGGCTCCTTGCGGGGATTGTCCCTGGACACCCTCAGAGACGGTGGGCCAGGCTTCTATCTGGATCATCTCCCACCCCAACCCTTTGCCTCTTCCAGTAAGCAACATGGATGGTGGTTTGCTTCTACAAGTTGGGTTCAGTCTCTTACCTAGTGTCTGGGACCATGCCCTGAATAGGAATCGCTTGAAGGTCTCAGTTGGCTGAAAGAGATCAGGAACCATCTCCTCCCCTGCTGGCTAATCCTGCCTCAGGCTCCAGTCTTTCAGAAGCCTTCTCTAGCTTCCAGGTTCAAAACCCCCTGCTTCAAAGAGCAATTCCTTGAAGGTAGAGCCTGCCCTCTTCCCACAGCTCTGCTTCAGGACTACTCCGATGCCTGGCAGCCTCAGGCAGATGCTCACCTCCAAAGACAGAGGCGAGGGTCTATTACAGCTTCACTGTCTAGAAGCTCTATGGGTTCTTCTGCTTCGCAGATCAATAACAAAGTATAGAAAAACAGGCTCAAGGGGGCTGGAGAGATGGCTCAGCAGTTAAGAGCACAGGCTGCTCTTCCAGAGGTCCTGAGTTTAATTCCCAGCAACCACATGATGGCTCACAACCATCCATAATGAAATATGGTACCCTCTGCTGGGCTGCAGGCAGATATGCAAGCTGAACATTGTATGCATAATAATGCATAATAAATAATAAACTCGAAAGAAAGAAAGAAAGAAAGAAAGAAAGAAAGAAAGAAAGAAAGAAAGAAAGAAAGAAAGACAGGCTCAAGATGGCCTCCAGCTTTGCTGGGGATGGGTGGGTTACAGGGTGCCTCCATGACTTCGGAGTGTACCCCAACCCACCATGTTGCCTCCTACCACGGAGAGGATACTGTTGCCTAGGGAAGTGCACATTAGGTAACCAAGCTCTCAACCAGTGTCTAACTGCATCTCTGCCTAGCCTCTATGGGCCTCTGAGGGCTCTCTGGGCCCAGGCTGTTAACACCCTCTGAACCTGGCCTATTCATCCCACAATCCTGAAGCCCCATACACACCGGTGGCCTCCCACAGGCATAGTGGTCATGGATACAGAGGGGACCACAAGCACACCTCCTATATGTGCAGGGACTGAAGGGACAATGAAGCTGATAAGCACCACTGCTCTCTAGGTATGGCACATCTGTCCACAGGACCTCACCTCACCCAGGCTCCCAGGACTGGGATGAACAAGGTCTGTGGAAGCAGCCAGCTTGGGCTCAAGTCTCCCAGAATAACCATTAACCCACCCTCTCCTGACATGAACTGTTTGAAATTCAGTCCACTTGTGTCCCCCAGAACTATCCTGACTGGCAAAATAGTCCACTGTGCAGGTAAAACCCCGATCAGGACCTAGATCACACCATCTTTATTGGAAGCTACCACAGACAGACATCTAGTCCCTGAGAGTGAGGTACCTCATGGGATACAGGTGACCAGAAGGAACCTAAGCCTGCTCCGCTTCAGAGCTAGCTCTGGGACCCGGAGTGAAGAACACATGTGGCTGGGGAACAGCATGGTACTCAGGACGAGGATATCACAGTGCAGATTCAAGGCAGCAGGCCGGGGCTCGGGGGAGGAGCACTTCCCTTCAGCGGCCCCTGTTTGATCCCCAAGACTACAGATTAAAACACAACTCAAAAGCAGTGTGTACTAAGTGAGGGCAGAATCAGGCCACCAGGCACTTCGAATAGGGCTGGATGCCAGGGCCAGTCCTGGAAAGACACATCCATGCCTTGGGTAGCTGTGAGGCCTGCCAGGCCCTGTCTCCCTCTTGTCCAACCACTGGTATTGGAACAATGTATGACTGTGGGTGCACAGCCCCTCACAGTTTACACTTCCTCTCCAGTCATCTTCCTGGTTGAACTCCTCCAGTAGACTGAGGTGGGCAGGGCTGGGCTTTGGGTGGCTCTCAGCTCCACTGTCAGCTCCTCAGCCAGTTGGTATCCTTTTTCACCGTAGAGAATCGGATCAGCTTCAGGCTCGTGGGCTGGGGCTTCCTGTCATCCCAGAGGTACTCTGGAGACAGCACTGTGGATGGCTTGTGCCAGATGAAACGGCGGTTCAGGTGGCTCTCCTCCTGCCAGGCTGCCATTATGCCATTGGCTTTGTCCGCCAGGATGGCCATGTGGCAGCCCCTGGTAAACTCATACACCCGGGCCACTCGTCCCCCAAAGACTGCCCCACCATAATAGAAGTCCCCCTCACTGTCTGCCACAAAGGCAGCGGAAACTTGCCTGCGTTCATAAGGGAACTGCTGGCGAGGTACAGCAAAATAGCCTGGGTGAATGGCAGCCACTAGATCCCCCAAAGTCTCGGGGCCCCATGGGTTACGGAAGACCATATCCACATCGAGACAGAAGAGGTAATCCACCTCTTTGTGAGCCCTCTCGGCAATGTGTTTGCTGATGGTCTCCATCCGGCGCATGGAGATCTCCTCCCACCGGGAGTGACCCTGGATGGGGACGATGCTGAGGAGGCGCCCAGGGCCCAGGAGGACTCTGGGAACGGCTGCAGGGTCGTGGGTGAAGAGGTAGTAGTGTACTTGGTACCCACGCATAAAGAACTCTTCAGCTGACTCCAGGAAGGGTCGAATGAAGTAGGTGTATCTAGGGATGACAGTTCTGTCAACTGGGGATGATAGTGATGCTGTCCGTCACTGCCCGGGTCCCCAGTACGTGCCTGAGTCTATACTCTAGTTCTCCACCTCAAGGAGTCATTCAGGTCTTACCTTGGTGTCCTCATCCGTCAAACTCCCACAGTCCTTGTCAAAGCTGAATACCCCTCATTGAAAAGCCCTGCTTCAGAGTTTTAGATTAAGATTTGTAATTATTAAAGTCTACACAAATTTTAAAATCTATACTTGGGAAAGACTGCTGGCCCAAGTGTTTCTAATCAGGAATACTCAGTGGATGACACCCATTTGAGACAGATCCTTAACCATCTGTATGTCTCTGTGTGTGTGTGTGTGTGTGTGTTTATGCACACATGTGTACCAGAGGTCGAACATCTTCCTCAGTTGCTTGCCACCTTATTTTTTTTGAGACAGGGTCTTAATGAATCTGGACCTCAGTAATCTGGCAAGGCTGGCCAGGCAGCAAGCCTCAGTGATGTTCCTATCTGTATCCCTGGGGCTGGGACTATAGGCATGCGCTGTGGGGTCTGGGTTTTGGGAATAGAACATAGGCCATGTTTGCATGAAAAGCCCTTTGCCAACTGAGCTGTCCTCCCCAGTGTCTTCTGTAAAATTTTAAAAAATTAATTTGTTTTATGCATGCATGCATGCATGCCATGGTGTGCCTCTGGAGGTCTGAGAACAACTTTCAGGAGTAAATTCTCTCCTTCCGCCATGAATGGGTTCTGGGGATCAAACCTAGGTCATCGGGCTTAGAGACAAGGACATTTACTAAATCCAAACTGCTCTGTTAGGTATTCCCGTGATCTTTGATCTTAGCATTAACAATCTGCTCAGAAACATGACCATTTTACATGCACAAACACTGAGCACCAGGAGGACGACAGTCACTGAGAAGCAAATGGGACAGAATCCAGGGAAGGTGGGGGACATATAGCACAATGGATGACATGGCTCCATCTTTAGGGGTCACCTGACCTCTGAGGTCCACTTGTCATCTGGCCAGTACTTTAAGTCCTAGGGCGGGTGGTAGGGACCAGGAGAGACAGGGAGGACAAAGTCTCCTTCCCATACTCCACTATTCCTCACCCAGGCTTCTCTCGCCTCCCTCTCCATGGCAGGTGAGGCCCTACATCAGAAAGCTCCCCCACGCCGGGCAGTGGTGGTGCACACCTTTAATCCCAGCACTCGGGAGTCAGAGGCAGGTGGATCTCTGTGAGTTCGAGGCCAACCTGGTCTACAAGAGCAAGTTCCAGGACAGGCTCCAAAGCTGCAGAGAAACCCTGTCTTGAAGAAAGAAAGAAAGAAAGAAAGAAAGAAAGAAAGAAAGGAAGGAAGGAAGGAAGGAAGGAAGGAAGGAAGGAAGGAAGGAAGGAAGGAAGGAAG